GGCAAGGGGCTGGACTTGATGAACTCTCGGATCCCTTCTAGCTCTGCAATGCTAAGACAATTATTATTCAAAAATACCAGACACCGTCAAGCAAAATTATTAAAAATCATTGTTTGGTATTCTATAACATACAAGTTTTCACCAAAAACCTAAGTATTTGTTAAATATCGGCGTAGTATGTGTGCTGTTCCTAATATTGCCAATTTCTTTTTTGTATGCTGTCCCTAATATTGCCATTTTTTTTGGTAGCTCTGATTTCTGACATCTGCAACTGCTTATAGTACTGTGTGAAATTTCTGGATATTGTTCTCAAAGTCCCCGTGACTACGGGGACCACCGAGGTGTGTTCCTTCCAGAGGCGAGATGCTTTGACGACCAGTTTCTCTGCACTTTTTCAGTTTTTCCAACTCTTTATCTTCAGCTCAGGCATCTCCTGGAATTACAATGTCAATGACTCCGACCTTTCTTCTTTCTATTACTACTAGGTCTGGTGTGTTATGTTCGAGGTGTTTATCCGTTTGGATCTGGAAATCCCGCAAGATCTCGACTTCCTTATTTCCTAACACCTCCCCTACCTGATGTTCCTAGGGATTTTCGGAGGCCGGCCAGTTATATATTTTTGCATAATAAGCAGTGCACTAATTTTGCCTTTCTGTCCTGTCTAACTTTGCAATTTGTTTGTGCAATCTTCGGACATTCGCAGACAAGAGGTGGCACAGTTTCCTCTTTTGCTCGTCAGTGTCGACATTTCCTGTTTCTCTGCACTTTTTCAGTTTTTCCAACTCTTTATCTTCAGCTCAGGCATCTCCTGGAATTACAATGTCAATGACTCCGACCTTTCTTCTTTCTATTACTACTAGGTCTGGTGTGTTATGTTCGAGGTGTTTATCCGTTTGGATCTGGAAATCCCACAGGATCTTGACTTCCTTATTTCCTGACACCTCCTCTATCTGATGTTCCTAGGGATTTTCGGAGGCCGGCCAGTTATATATTTTTGCATAATAAGCAGTGCACCAATTTTGGCATTCTGTCCTGTCTAACTTTGCAATCTGTTTGTGCAATCTTCGGACATTCGCAGACGAGAGGCCGCACAGTTTCCTCTTTTGCTCGTCAGTGTCGACATTTCCTCTTAACACGAATTCCTTGGATCGTGGCCTTCGTCACGTCGGTTCGAAATGCTTGTTCTTGTGCAGCAAAAATCAAGCCTTCGGTTTCTTTCTTAAGGGCCCCCGGATTCAGCAATGCCCATGTTGAATGAGGATCATACTTTCCATCAACATTTCTCCGGGCTTGTCCATGTACTGGTTTATTTTTCCAGTGGTTTTTATTGTGGCAGCTGTTAAGTGCCACCATATTTTGCCCTTGTGTTTAATTTTGCTGACACCTGGGGGGGGGAATGAGCGTCTCCAACAGAAGCGCTAGGGGGCGCCAGCCCACCAGTAATGTTTTCCTCCCAGTACCTTTTCCTCCCAGTTCAGAAGGCAAACTATGATTGCCGTTGCTTGGCTCAGCGCTTCTCCGGTCTTTCCTCCCTGGGCGCCAGGGGTGGCTCAGAACAGCCGGCGAGGGATGGAGGTCTGCCACAGAGTAAGCTATTTCTGCTGCTGATCTGTGCTATTGTTTCGTCTCTCCCAACGCCTCGGTCTCTATTTTAAGCCTTCGGCCGGCAAGAATTAAGGTCAGTTCAAGGCAAGGGGAGCAGCCTTGGTGAAGCTTTTTTGCTAGCGATGCGGCAATGTCTCCCTTTGTTCGGTGCCGTCCTCAACTGCCCTGCTCAGCTCTTGTGCTGATTCAAGGTTGTGGCTTCTGTTAGGGGGTCGCTCCATCTCGATCTGTGCTATTGTTTCGTCTCTCCCAACGCCTCGGTCTCTATTTTAAGCCCTCGGCCGGCAAGAATTAAGGTCAGTTCAAGGCAAGGGGAGCAGCCTTGGTGAAGCTTTTTTGCTAGTGATGCGGCAATGTCTCCCTTTGTTCGGTGCCGTCCTCAACTGCCCTGCTCAGCTCTTGCGCGGACTCAAGGTTGTGGCTTCTTTTAGGGGGTCGCTCCATCTCGCATTTGGCCTTCCTCTTTTCCTGCTGCCTCTCTCTGGTAGGGTTGTCTTTTCCAGGGAATCCTGCCTTCTCATGAGCTGCCCCCAAAGGAGGACAGCCTCAGTTTCCGCATTTTTGCCTCTGGAGACAGTTCTGGCTTGATTTGATCGAGGACCCACTTGTTCATAAAGTCTCTAGTTGTTAGTTCTGGAATGTGTTCTAACTGGATGTTACTGGTCAGAAGGGTGTGCAAATCACCAAGGACCTTTAAAGAGGAATTGGGCACACATTGTGTGCTATTTCGAAGGCTACGTGTTGCGTCTTTAGTTGTGCTACAGTTGAGCAAACAACCGCACAACCTTTAGGGATCACCCTAAAATATATGGTAAAACCCATCAGACTTTCCGGCTATTGAGTTCAATGTCTCTTACTCCCTCTCTGACATAATCCTGAATCGTTACAGGATCTATCACCCCCCCTCTCCCACATTTTCACAAAGGAAGTCATAAATGAAGATAATGATACCGTAATTGTGTGCCATCAAGCCAATTGTGGCTTATGGCGACTCTTTCAAGGGTTTTCTAAGTAGAAATGGTTCCCCATTCTCTTCTTCTGATGGGGCAGCCCTGGGACGGTGCAGCTTGCCCAAGGCCACACAGGCTGGCTCTTCTGAGATGCAGAGTGTGGAACTGAACTCCCAACCTCTGGGAGCTGGATACTCCAACCACTAAGCTATCTAGCCACTGAATCATGTGCTGCCAAATCAGCCATGTCCTACGGCGACCCTTT